TACCAAAAGGACTCTTAATTTATGTTATATTATTTCTTAAAAATAAAAGTAAAATATAAATAAATATATTAATGACATCCCAAAAACAAATAATAAATAGCTAAATTTAGATCCCAAATTAGAAAATTAAAGTTGTGTTTATTGTAGTTATAGTTTTAAGTTTTTTATTTTGGTTTTTTAAAATTTTACAACTCTAAATAAAAAACTCATTTATTTTCATGTATTTTTGTAACATCTTATTATGATTCTTAGAAAACTAAGAACAAAAATAATTCTTGCTATTAAACTAATAAATATTTTTAGTTTTCAACATTAATATTAATATTTGTGTTAAAGAAATTTTGAATTTTTAGTTTTTAGTTTTGGTTTTTCTTAGTTGAAAATTTATAAAAACCAAAACTAAAAATTTAAAACAACAACTATATTAAACAGAGGTTAAATCTACTTAAATTAAATGGAAAGAATATACTTTTTAACCTTTTTTATCTTAAAAAAATGTAATAGTTTAAAAATAAAGTTTTTCATCATAAGTTGTTTGTTTTGTTATGATTCTTCCTTCAAAATTTAAGAGGGTTTAAATTCAACTTGTAGAAGTATTAAGAATAATTTTATTCTTATTTCCTTAATAGTCATAATAAGATGTCAAAAATCACACATGAAATTAATAAAATATTTGTTTAGAATTGTCTTACTTTCTTATTTGTTTAAGTATTTTTAGTTGATTTTATGATCAATTTAAGTTTATACATTGCATGCCATTGATTCACATAATTTATTTATATTCTCTTTTTAATAAAAATAAAAAATATCAAATTTATATCGCATGATGTGGAGTGAATAAGTTTGAGAATTAGCTCTAATTATATACCTTAAGATTTCAAAAAAAAAAAATGTAATTTTCGCATTACATTTATTATTTTAATTTCGTACTTAAAAAAGAAAAAATCAAATGCATCTCGATCTGTTCCAAGATTGTTCCAGTCTAGTCTCAGACCCAAACACCCAACCCAAGTTTAGACCCGGCTCGTTCGGACCAGGACCGGGTCAACGGGTTTAGTCCCTGTCTGTGATTTAAAATCACACCGCCGCCAAGGAATCCTAGGTGAGACCCGACCATAAAAACCAATAGATCGGCAACACCGGACGCAAGCCAAACTTAATCAAATCGAATCGAGGACGTTCGTCTCCGACGGCCACATTTCCGGGCCGGCCAGACAGCCTCGGTATTAAACGGAAAAGCCACGTACTAATCTAGTTTAATTTTATTTTCGATTTCTTTCAATTTTAATAGCAATTGAGTATTCATGATTTTTTTTTTTTCAGTAAAAATTCTAAGATTTTCTATTGGTGCCCAAGTGGTGGCAGCTCATTCGTCACCATTGCGATCACTGCCAGTGCTTGTTTACCAGCTGCATATAATATAGATATAGTGCTACTGGCTTCTGCCTGAAATAAGATTTAAGAGTGAAATTTGGTTTTGCTGATTCCATCATAATAGCTACGATAAATTTTAACCATTTAGATATTTGTACCTATTTTATTTTGCTCATTCTTTATATATATATATATATATCTATTTGGTTAAATCTTCAAATTGATTCCTCAATTATGGTAGGAATCCATAATTTGATTATTATTGTTTATCAATAATTTAAATTTATCTTCATTTACAAAAGTAAATGATACATTTTATTATTTTATTATTAATGCGCCGTATGATAATTAAATAATAATTTTTTATTATTAAATAATAAATTAATTAATTATTTAAAAAAAAGGGATCAATTTAAGATTAAATTAGGAAACAGTGGGTATTATTTTTTTTTTTATACTAAAAGTGCACATTGGTGGTGCCTTTTCCCCTTTATTTCATTCTTCTTCTTCTTTTTTTTTTTTTTCAGGGGGCAAGTCAAGGTTGAGCCCAAAGGTTCCTTCCCTTCCTTCTCTTCCAAAATACATAAACACCGCAAACTGCGGTAATATGTATTATATTTTCTACACAATCCAATTATCATTGTCTCGTTCTTATGTTTTGGTTTGTATGCGCAGTGAAAGATGAAAAGGCACCAGCTCTTGAAGATGCTGAAGTTCTTGATGAGGTGAAAGAAAATAAGAAACGCCACTTGAATGTTGTGTTCATTGGTCATGTTGGTAGGTTTTTGTACTTATTGTTTAAATTAAAAGTGGGGGTTTTTCATCTTTATGTCCTTTATTATTCTCTATGAACTGGAATGTTCAAAGGCCAAATAAAAGGGAGAAATGTGTTTCACATTGTTGTTTATTAGCTTTTTAGTTTGAGTTCAGACATTGGTTGACTTGATGCCACATAGAAATAATTTAATGGTTTGGCATTTTCTAAGATCCATTGTGGAGTTGACTGTGTTAATTGTTTCCTAGAACATATTGTATACATCCTTGAATGATTATAGACTTCCAAAATCTTAAGATAAAATCTTATGGTAGAAAAAAAAAAAACTTATGGTTTCCTGTTTCCATCTAGTATCTACATATTTTTGAGAAGTTTCAAGCTTTCTTTCTTGGATATTATGTGTTATTTTTATGGAAAGGTGTTTTTAGTTTGTTTAAAGTTTCAACTTTTTCAATTTGGCAACTTTGTTTTATTTGGCACTATAAGGGACAATTGTTGATCAAAGTGAGGAATGTTGGCTCTTTTTAATCACAAATGTCGATGGTACTATCTCCCTAGACTTTTCATCCAAATGGTTTGTTTTGGCTTTGTTTTGTAATTGGTTTTTAGAGGCTGGGAAGTCAACATTTGGAGGACAGATACCCTTCCTTAGTGGTCAGGTTGATGAACGTACGATCCAAAAATATGAGAAAGAAGCAAAAGACAAAAGTAGAGAAAGCTGGTGAGACTTTACATTCATTCTTTATTCTTTACATGGAAAATAGATGCTTTTCCTATGTACACTGATAAACTATTTGCCTAAGGGAATGATAATGTAACACAAATCAATTTGAAAAATGGTTTCTTGTCCTATGTTACTTTACATTCTCATTCTTCATATACAATGTAACCATTCAAAGAACATATTGTTTTTATTCTGCTTCTCACTATTAAACGGTTGTTTGTTTTGATATGCTTGTTTTGCATGCCAAGAGAATCATTCAATGAGGAACTTGATTTTAGAAGTTAGGCTAGGATTATGCTGGTTTATTCCGGTATTGCTAATATATGTTTTGTTATGTGAACTTAAAAGTATAAATTTGATCCCTGATGCTATGTATGTTGAAAATAATTACTAGCATAGAACAACTTTGGGTAAAATCATTTCTAAAGAATAATTTAGTGTGATATTGAATTAGCCATGGCTAGACCCAAACCATTGATCAAATCTTACGACATTTTTGATATGGTAAGTATCAGATTGTTGGCTGTTGTTAAGAGTTAAGAAGCTATAAAAATGGTTCTATTTCCAGCCTTAAACTGTAGCATTTCTTTTACAAGTTGTTGAGGAGAGTGGAGGGTTTTTTCTTTTCTTTAAAAATTTTTAATTGCATTTTGCTTTGGATGGGTAGACCTAGGTTGTGGATGGGATCAAAAGTATGTTTTAAGTTTCACTGGTTGAAAACTTGAAATTTAGATCCTCTTGATTCAAATTCTTTAATTGATGGATTTTCGAATTAGAATTGCTATTTAGAGGGATTGCTTTCAAGTTTTGAAGTCATTTTTGAATTTGTCACAAGGTTTGAATGACTAATGGATTTCAAAGTGCCTAAAAAATTCTGAATATATTCTCTTTATCCTATCAAATGCCAATATAAGTTGCTCTCAAAATTTTTGGTTCTGTTTCCTGTTAAAGTTTGTTTGATTCAGCATCACATCAAGCATTCTTGAGATTGTTAAAATGTTTAATGTGCTAGACAATAAGAGTCTTGGCTCTGGCATTGTTTGACCATAATTATCTTTTGTGATAGGTATATGGCATATATTAAGGACACTGATGAAGAGGAGAGAATTAAGGTACTATAAGATGTGGTAACCATGTTTACATTTTTGGATTCCATATTGTTGCTATTTAAAAAAGAAAAAAATGGTTGCAACTCTTTTTTCCTAATACATGCCATTGCTCTTTGTTATTTGCACAATCTCACACGATTGTGGGTGTTACTGCAGAAGTTGGAAGAGCACGCTTTGAGACTGAAAATAGTAGGTTTACCATTTTGGATGCACCAGTAAGCAATTATTTTGAAGCTAAAACACCATGATTTTGTATTTTTTATATGATTTCCTCTCTTCATTATTAATTTTTGTTGGATAAGGTTATATGTTTTAGCTAGTTTATTGCTTTTGTATATCTATATTTTGTGAATTATGATATGATTCTATGAGTTGAAAAAGATGAGTGATAGATGGAAGGGATAGTTTCTAATTAATGCTTTAATAAGATGCACAATCTCAAGCCATTGTAAAAACGAACTATGTGATGGTTTCTAGTCCTGTCGAATGAAACTCTTCTTCTTCACGTAAGCAATGTCACAAAACACACTGGGCGGACTAGCGCCCAGTGCCCAGAAGTACTCAAGTGCAACTAGATGCGTCTGGATGTTTTGCCTTTTAATTATTTTTTTCAAAAAAAAGGTGAAAAAAGTAATTAAAAAATGGGAGAAAAATCAGTCATTGAAAAAAGTTGAAAATTTAAGGGCTACACAGCATGTTTACAAAACTTAAAGGACTAAACTGCCAAAAAAAAATCAAAACGCAGCTAATTGTCTAACTCGGCACACCCTTCTTCAACCTTTGGGAACTGGGTCAGGTCTGGTTTGAAGGTCAGATTCGGGCCACCAGTGTGGGAGGGTGCGTTCTGCTCTGACTAAAACTCTAGCCGAGTAGCTCACCGGGGCCATCTGAGGACATTTCTGATGTTGCGTCTTGGATTATGGCACAATTTTGTTGCAGGCCACTGTTCATCCGGGCAGTCCAAGGGGTGAGGCGGTGTGGTGACCAGTGCCTCTTGGTCAACTAATCCCCACTTTTGCAACACTGCCTGCAAGCCATCCTCACTACATTTAATTTTAATTTTTGAGATGTGACAGCTTAGTTACTTATGATTCTAAATACTTATCAAGTTTGTGCCTGCAAACAAGTTTGTAATCTATATGATGGAGTTATGTTTAGTACTGATGTAGGGAGGTTGTGAATTTGTTTACAGAATAAGATTCTCAGCTCTTGTATTCTTTGGCCATAATTTGTTGTGTTTTGAATGTATATTTCCCATCAATTTTGCTTCGGTATATGATTTAACTTTGAGTTTTGGGTTGTTTGGTCAGGGTCACAAGAGTTATGTTCCAAATATGATCAGTGAAGCAGCTCAAGCAGATATTGGTGTTCTGGTGAGTTAGTGCCACTTCACTGCATTTGTTTTGCACAAGTCCCATTTCTTGAATTTTTAATTCTTTCTCTTTCTCTGTCTTGTTCTCTATCTGACTGTCATAATTAGGTATTTCTGCCCGTAAAGGGGAATTTAAGACTGGATATGAGAGGGGTGGGCAAACCCGTGAACATGTTCAGCTTGCGAAAACTTTGGGCGTATCTAAGCTGTTTGTGGTTGTGAACAAAATGGACGATCTCACTGTTAACTGGTCAAAAGAAAGGTGCTGTTCCTGAATTTAGTTAAGTTTATGCTTATATATGCTGTTTCATTTGTGTTCCTGTTCTGATGGTTCATTCTTCATGGCACTCCCTCAGATATGATAATTGAATCTAAGATGGTACCATTTCTGAGGTCTTCAGGCTATAATGTAAAAAAGGGTAATTTATATATTGCTTCTTGAATCTTTATATATATATAGGAAAATAGTTATTGATTGAATTAAAATTGTGAGTTATTTGTATTTTTTCAGTAAAAGGAAAGCAATTAATTCTGTATATTGATTGTGTTTTTGATCTTATTCTGAACCTGTAGATGTCCAGTTTCTACCAATATCTGGTCTTCTTGGTTCCAATACGAAAAGGAGACTGGACAAGAGCATATGCCCCTGGTGGAATGGTCCCTGTCTCTTTGAAGTCCTTGATGCAGTTGAAATTCCTCCTAGAGATCCAAAAGGTCCTTTTAGGTGTGATTTATTACTGTAGGAATTCATACAACTCTAGGAAGAAAGCATAATTGTATAACTATACCCTTTCCCCCTTTGTTATAGAAAAGCCTATGTAGTTACTTATAAGGACTCTGACTACTTCTTGAGTCCCTATGACTTTGATTCGGAACATAAGATAAGTAAATAACTGCCTAGGATTTTTAGAAAATAAGACCTAAAAAGTCTAATTCCTAAAGATCCTCGAATGAGCAAAATGTACCCAAATTATATTTTAAAAAGAAAACCTAAATCATGGAACTGAAATTATATTAAGTCTGCCCCTGAACATAGAAAAACTTAAGTATAATAAAATAGAACCCTAAATTGCTAAAATTATATTAATTCTGCCCCTGGCTAGAACCCCTGAACTATTAAGGCTGTATCAATGTTTCATTTCACATCTATTAAGTATTAACTATATGTTTTCTAAATATGTAGGATGCCCATAATTGACAAATTTAAAGACATGGAAACTGTCGTGATGGGAAAGGTTGAATCTGGTACCGTGCATGAGGGTGATTCCTTATTGCTCATGCCAAGCAAGGTGCTTAGTCTTTCCCCTAATTTCTTTATTTGTTTATTTATTATTAAACTTTGATTTTGAAGTCCAAGATGCATGGATGGCAGGCTCAAGTGAAAGTTCTTGCCATTTACTGTGATGAAGATAAGGCTACACGTGCTGGACCTGGTGAAAATCTGCTGGTTAAGTTATCTGGAATTGAAGAAGAGGACATATTATCTGGTTTTGGCTTGTGTAGTGTTGGTAAGTGCTCTTAAAGATTCTAAAAACTGAAGGCTAGAGGAAATTAGATTATAGAAAGTGGAGTTAAAAGTAAATGGTAGGATAACTTACAAATTTGTTTGCAGAAATATTTCTGTTCTTTTATAGTTTTTGATAGCAATGCTGGGACGTCTTGGCCTCACCATCCCCTTCTATACTTATTTTCTATTTTTGATTCTGAAGTGTTATTTGTGATTTTGTTTAAGTTTTGCTGAATTATATCCCCTTTTTTTTTTTTCCTCCTTTTTTACCCAGCAAAACCAATACCAACAGTCACTGAATTTACGGCCCAGCTGCAGATCCTTGAGTTGCTTGACAATGTATGAATGAATCCACTTTAGAAAGTCCTCTCTCATCTTTAATCTTTTAGTTCATTTGATTAACTTTGCATCTAATGGTGTTGGACTGTGCTATTTTAGGCAATATTTACAGCTGGGTATAAAGCTGTCTTGCACATTCATTCTGTTGTTGAGTAATGTGAGATTGTTGAACTGCTACAAGAAATTGATCCCAAGACAAAGAAACCCATGAAAAAAAAAGTTCTATTTGTTAAGAATGGTGCTGTTGTTGTTTGCCGTATTCAGGTTTACTTCTTGCCTTTTCACTCTTTTTGAAATTCCAAAGTGTCTATTCTCCAACATTTGGAATTATCTAGAATTGTGAATGTTTTTTAATTCAACATGGTATCATCCTCGTGCTTGATAATTGTGGGACTGCTAGAATTTCTATGTATATGGAATCTGTAGCATTGCTCTGTTATTTATGCTCCTTCCAAGCTTTCCAAGGTCTGAAGTGGTCGGGATCTCCAACCAATATTACATTTTGTCAAATGGTTGTCACTGGCGATTTATTTTTAACAGGGAAAGAAGTTTTGCTTTGAAGTAGAGACCAGCCCAATTATATTTGAAACATTTTTGTGTATGAAATTTCGTTCATGAATTATATCTTTTTGGCAACATTGTCTCAGGTGAACAACTTGATTTGTGTTGAGAGATTCTCAGATTTTGCACAACTTGGAAGGTTTACTGTTCGAACTGAAGGTAAGTGACTGCATTTTCACCATTCATGAATTACCCTGGGCATGCATTGTGTAATTTGGATTACTGTCTCTACGGGGAAAACAGTTGTAGTGGGAAAAGTCATGGACATTCCTCCAAGTGCTAGTGCATAAAAAAGTTTTGTTGTTAGAGGTGAGAAATTAAATTTATAGTTTTTTTTTGAAAAATGCAATCTCTAATGGGATGTTTAATGTATGGCTAATTCACCCTGACGGGTACGTCCACCAGACTCTCCTTATGAATGGGTGTAAGTTGCAACACAGAATCATCTTAAATGAAGTTGCCGCGTTAACAATATATTGATGTCTTGAGGAGAGGTGAGGTGCCGATGCCACAGGTGCTTGGCATTGGTACTTTTGATATACTTATGGGTATGTAATGTTTAACTTATACACC